TGAAATGTGGCAAAAGGTTGAAAAGTTCAAGGGGGCCGAATACTTTCGCAAGGCACTGTACATACATTAAAACACATACATGTATCAAGTATTCAATACTCCATTTCTTTTTACAATAACCCATGAATAAAACAATATTATTTATTTTGGAAACTATAGGAAAGCATTACCGGAATGAAAACCGACTGAGGGGTCACTCAATAAAACCAGAGCCTCTTGCTAATCTGTCTTCCTTGCTGTTCACCTGAGCATGCTGTTTGTTTATTCAGTGGTCTCTTGTTTATTTAGTGTCTGTCGTGTCTGCAGGGGGAGCGTGAAAGGTTCCATAGGCTCTTGTGATTCCAGAATCCACTGCACTTAAAAAGAACCTTGTGCTTCCATGATAAAGAGGCTGCGCGTACTGTGTTTAGCTCTCTTTTCAGGCACTTCAGCTGGAGCAGAAGAGCCAAACCAGGCTATTTAGATGCGATTGTGTCTCAATGCACTTCACATGAATAAAAAGTCTTTTATCCGAGAATCTGGAGAACTAGCTTGACCCCATCAATGGCTGGATCTTTGGCATTGCAGTAAACAGAGCTGGTCTTTACAATGGAGTCGCAGTAATCAGTAATTTAGCAACCCCACCCTCCTATTCTCCATTCTAGAGAACCGACATTTCAGATGCTCTTCAAAAATAAATAGAAAGAACACTGTCAGTTAAACAAGCACGATGCAAAATCTGTCTATTTATTATTAAACACCAACAAAAAACAAATATGTGCAAGGAGCAATTTTCATTCAGGAGCTGTTCAGTTACCAGCAACATACACAATGAATTAAAATGCCGTCATCAGATTAAGGGCTGTGTACAGTATATAATTCTGATTATCACAGTGCCCCCCAACCGATATCAACCCGTGTGCAACCTGCAATCATCATGCTCCCCTGCACTGCTTTCTCCAGGAACATTTTATAGTGCTTCCAAACTCAGAGGTTCGTCTCTCAGCAGGTCTCCTTTGAAAGAAGCAGCCGTGGCCGGCTCAGTGGCATTCACTAGCGCAAAAATGGAATGGCCTTCCAGCCAGACTGCAAACGAGGCTTGTGATAACAGTCAAAGTTCTTGAGGGCAAGAATTATTGTAATGCTTTTGGGAACAAAGGAGGTCCAGAATAAGGAAGATGAAGAGACAGCGGGGCTCTCAGTTCCTTCTCCAAATTTCTTACGTGAGGCAGGAGAGGGTTCTTGCGTGTCATGTGGTGCTGCAAGCTGTCGGATGCATTATCAACCTGTCAGGTTTGATTATTTCTCTGCCCCAGCCGGCAGAAATGCAGTCTTTCATAACCAGACCTGCCTGACAGAGTGAGCAGGACAGCACCCTGCAGTGAACGCATGACCAGAACCCCCTGCCGCAAAACAGAGCCATTTCATCGGCCTATTCCTAATTTCCATTGCGCTCACCTACAGGCGTTCAACTCCTCCTGCTTACTCTGCCTTTGGTAATCTGCACAGTTGGTAGGGAATGAGTCCTGCCTGCAGGAGATTCTTGTAATTGCACCAGCAGAGAGACTGATGTGTTCTGCACTGAAGAGAACAGTGAATTCCTGCTTAAGGTCCTTACACACTGCACCCCATCCTCATCTTTCTCTGGCACAAATCAACTTTGTCTCATTCAGTCCTGTGCTGGACTCTGCAAGTCAATCTCTTTTTCCTCATGACATCTAAATCTGCTCACAAAAAGTGTTACCACAGATAGGATTTCAGAGATAAGATAAGAGATAAGATCACTTTATTAGCCATATACAATTTCTTGCATTAGGAATTTGTCTTTTCGCATACCCCAACTTGCTCTCCATCAGACACACAGACAGGGAGAGAAGCTTAGGGTCAGAGCGCAGGGTCAGCCATTGTACAGCGCTCCTGGAGCAGTTGGGGTTATAGGCATTGCTCAGGGGCCAAACTGAGTAGGATTCCTCTGCCGGCCGCAGGATTTGAACCGGCAACCTTCCAGCTACAGGCACAGATCCTTAGCCACAGATCCACCGCCCCATTTTATAGGAAAAGGAATATTTTTTTAGATGCTAAAAACTCAGTAGGAGATCTCTCAGCTATTCCCACTTCTCTAAATTGTGTTTAAACTGCCATACAGACTTGACATTGCATAGGTGTACTCTAGGACGGAAATAGACTAATTCAGTCTTTCTATTAGTTTACATTTAACCCTGCCACCTTCCTTCAACATGTTTGCTTTTGAAATGGATTATATCTGAAAGGAAAGAAATTAAAATTCTCCTGGTAATGAAAGGTAGATCATTTGTCTGAAACAATCAGTTTTGATTAACAATGAGCAGCAGCTGTGGACAGTGTGTGCTTTGCTTAAAGTATCTGGCTGTGTGAAGTCAAACTGAAATTATTCCTGTTTTGGATTATAAAGTAGGTAAATCCTTGTTGCTGGAGTCCACGAGACCAGTGAACACCTCCACACAGGTCCAGAGGAAGGGATTGAGATTTTTCCACTAGCCCAGTGCTGTTCAATCCTGGATTGAATTCCGGATTGAACAGAGCATGTCACTTGCCCTTTCTGTTCTCTTATGGAAAACTACTTTTTCCTGGATGTTGGCTAAAAGCAAGGCAATGATCCATACAGTATAGCAGCACAGTTTCCACACTATGTTCCAGCTGAAATGCATTTGTTTTCTATTTCTATTCTTTCTATATAAAAAGATATACAAATAATAAAAGTTTGGTCAACAGCAAAATATTTTTCACATTTGGTATGTTAAGGGAAGAACAACGGACATGCCTCAAGTTCACTGCTTGAAAGATGTATTACTATGTACTGCTTTTATCAAGGGTTTTCAAACACTGCTTTCCAAAACATTGCTTTCAATAGGAATATAGTTTAAATTCACAGGTAAGCTAAATAGCAATTCTAATTTGAATTTTAGCTTTAATGCATTAAAAATATTGCAGGGCAACAACTCCACAACAAATTAAACAGTGCAAAACTGATCAAGGAGGGAGATGCCCAGTCTGCCAGCGTAACAATGCAACAGATGTCCCTGATCTGTTGCATGACATCCTTATTCTTGAGTACATGTGGTCTTTCCAGAATCTTTTGTGGACTTTACACAATGGAATATCTCTGTAAAGCTTTGTGCTTCCACCTGCCCTCAGTTTGGAGAGCGTTTACTTGGATCAATCTCCTGGAGGCGCATGGCCAGCGGGTTACCTGTGTGTCCATGCAGAGGAGAGTGTGGTCTGGGCAGAGTGGGCGAGGTGCTGGAGGTCACAATCAGGCTCTTCCTGTTGCTGGTCCGACAGCTGCGTGGAAAGACAAAGAACTGCATGTTATGGAGAGGCCCTTCAATCACAGCCAGGAGTGTGACAATTCTTAGAAGCACCGTGAAAGCACTCTTAATGTATGCTTATAGAAAAACACGGCACAAGTGGAAAAGTGTTACAATAGTAAACCTTTAAAAAAACGTGCCCCTGAGCCCAGTAAAGCATCATTACCAACTCCAGAGGGAAAGACTGCACGCTATGCTGGTGAAGAATGACCTCCACTTCCTTCTCAAACAAGCCCTGATGTTTAACCTCTGGGGCACGGATTAGAATTTCATTAAAAGTAGCATGGTTTTCAGTGTGTGCATGCATACATTAGTACAGATAATGGACTAAGAGGGTATACAGTAAGGACAAAACCCCACAGGCATCAGGAGTCTCGCTGGATATAATGTATTTTGGCATCCAGACATTTTTCTGATTTATCTATTTAAAAATTAGATGATATAGATATCATCATAATTATGATGACTGTCATGTTTTCTAGGATATATCTCATCTCCCGCTGCTGAATACTATAATTGCCCCCATTTTAAATCACGTTCAGCATATCATATCAGGTCACAGCTAACCACAATATTTGCCGATTCTCCGAATCCTGACGTAGGAGATTCAGGAAGCAGGTGATGGAAGTAAATTGAAACCAACATAGCTGCTACTTTTCGAAGGAATCTGTCTCATAACTTGTTTCCATGTGTGCAGGCAATCTACAATAGTCCTTCCTTCCATTATGTTAGGGTTTAATAACAGGGTTTAAAACCTCTCATGCCTGACAGCTTGGGTTCAGATAGAGTTGAGGTTACACATAATACAAGTATGGCTGAGCTGTCTTAGCTGACAGCAGTTGATGGACCACATCATCAAAATACAACTGCACACAGAGTATAATTTGAAATTCTACTTCAGATAAGGTCCAGCTAGTGAGAGATCAGGTTAGAACTCAAGTTCACTTCAATAGCTAAGAGAGGAAGATATCTAACAATCTGCTGAGAAACAGCCCAGTAATATTGTCCTTCATTTAAAAAAAATAGACACAGGCATCAAATCTCACAAAACATCTAAGACTGATAATAACGACAGTATCCTTTACACGCTGACTTACAGAAAGAGAATCAAGAACATTATAAGCAGCAAATGAAATTTACAGCTCATTACGCTTAAGCAATTCCATCAAATGACCATTCAAAGCCTTTGCAAAACATGATCAATCTGCAACATGGTTCATCAGGGAGATGTAAGGAGGACAAAATATGCTCCAGTTCTCATTACATGGCAAAGCCTGACATTCGGGCAGCCACGATGCTCAACAAGACTGCTTCATAATCAGCTTTTCAAAAGGGATTAGTGTACTATTTGCAAAAAGAACTACCTGCTGAAGCACAGTTAAGCCCAGTCTGCCAGCGTAACAATACTATATAATTAAAGCACTTGTACTCAGGAATGGAAAGCGATAAATATGCACAAACACATGTATTGTGTACTGAGCATAAACACATGTACAGTAAGTACTTCAGTACTGAAGCAAAGTCTGCAACTATGCCAAGCTTCCTCTGGAATCTTTTAAACCTCTGGAATTCCTCTGGAATTTATTTTTTATCTTTTAGTATAAAGATAAAAAATAAATCAATGCCAAAGTTTTTAGACGTCGAGACGTGACCCTCAATGTATTGGAATGGCTGAGGCTCCAGGAAGAAATGTCACGATGTTTTGAAGTGAGGGAGAATGGGCTGGGTGCTGAAGGAACAATTCAAGAAAAATCTTGATATGGAAACAGACTGACTGTGGGACAGATGTGACCAAACCATCAAGAGTACTAGAATACATCAAACAGACTCCTTTAGAGTGTAGAGCTACAATGAACATCAGGGTGAACAATTTGCGGGGAAACATACCCTTCAGTTCAAGCAGCTGAATCTAACTCTACTTAGAATACAAAACCATGAGACAAAATCATTGATACTAGGCAAGTATCTGTGATCTTGGATGTGTAAGACAACAGTCTTTGGGTTCCAAGGTAATAATTTGGTATTGACACTGAAATGTAACCAAACATCTTGTCAAGTAAAGACTTTATTGCTGTCCACACAGTATCTGCAAGATGAACTGACGACCTTAGTGCCTGCGATTGACATTCCTTGCTTTGCCTGCCATGAAAAGTGTCAAAGTTATTTCTGTTTATTGATGGGCACAGAATCACGCAAATAGAAGAAGCAAAAAGGTCACATAGTATGGACTTCAGGCTGTGTGTCAAGGCAGAGAAATGTGAGTGGACACCTAGACACCACTCAACCAGAAGGACACAAGCAGTACTGGCTTGTATCTTCCCTTGTTAGGCAACATGAACAGACAGAAAACTAAATAGCAAACTCAAAAGCCAACGTGTCAGTTATTTGACTTTAATTATATACAGTATACTGTAGACTATTGGGTTTGGAGAAAGTACAAAGTTTGATACACAGCACTGCAAACACAGTATTATTTGACAGAAGACAGCCAAGATAATTTTAACATTATCCCACCATCTTGTCCTCAGCCAGACTGACGTGTAAATGAAACATGTAATACTAACTGCAAATTACCATAAACAACATACTGTAGTTTGTAATCGTTTCAAAATCTAATACACACACCAGTGGTCTCCAATATCCTCAAAATGCAAATATTAAGTATGATGTTACAGCAGTGAAACTATTTTCTAATAAATGAATTTCCCACGCAATTAAAAGCAGAATTAGAAGACACTCCACTAAAACAAGTTTCATAGTTTCATAACTTGAGTATTGTAACAAATATAAAAACTAACTATAAAAACGACATTATGGTACTATTTTGGTTCTTAGACAAACACTACATGTATTTTAATGTTTTAAAATAACAGCTTAATACATACAGAAAGGCAGATAATTATTGCACCCTATGCATATACTATATCAACGCATATACTGTATATTTTGTTCCTGTTGATTTTTTATTTCATGCCACAGAATGTTCACTTATGAATGAAAAGCACAAATCAAAAAGCCATACAGCTCTATAAGAAGGTTTCTGCCCCGTAGGAAAGAAAAGTAAAAAGGTAGAAGAAGTGCAGGAAGAGAACAGGAGACAGGTGAGATGGGAAAGGAGCAGGTAACTCAAAGAAAAAAAATGAATGGACTAGCAGATTAAACAGAGATTATATATTTACAAGGAGGATATGGAATATTTATGAACTGGATGAAATGTGCAGTCACAGGGAAAGGGGACTGAAGGGTCATTCAAGCAATAGGCTCCTCAGGGAAGCAACTGGTCTACAGAAGATAAGTAGCATACTGCAAATGCAAATGCGTCAGAAAAGAAGACTGAATCATGAACAACAGGGGGATGGTGACAAGTGCGCCATTCCTCGCACAGGCTAGGACAAAACACAGTGCACACTGCACTGTACAAACCTCTGCCAACACATCTTTAAAAAAATAACAATACCCCATGCAAAACAAAAGCCTGGAAAGTTTGCATATTAATGATAAGAGCAGCTGTGTGGAATCGTCACTGTGATATGAAAGTTATGTCTTAATTACAGTAATTGAGAGAGGCATTTGTTTTGCAGTGTCTGATACCACAGAACACAGGATTAATTAGCTTTTGTTTTTTTTGTTCTAGATAGATGGAGGAACTGGGTCGCCTGAGAGCTGCAGGAAGCATCTGTAAAAGAGAAATAAGTCTGTGGTCCTATGCTGCTCTCTTGCAGATTAATGAGTTTGGTTCAGAGCTGCTATCTAACACAGCAAACACACATGCACATAGAGCTTAGTTAATAGATTTAGAATAAGAAGGACATCCATTTACTATGAGAAAGCCTATCCTGAAAGCACAGGCCACAGGATAGTGGAATACCGCTTTAGCTCACAAAGTACAAAACAGCTTCTTTAATCTCAACGAGTTAGTTAGTGAAGACAAACATCACAGTTAACTTTGACACAATATAAAAGTCAGAAAAAGGCTCCAAGGCTCAGAAAAAAACTCAGAAGAAAGCAATGAACTTAAATCCTTAAAGACTTAGAGTAACATAGTAGCCTACAGTCAAACTACAATTCCTTCTATGAATTTCATACATAAGCAAACAAGAGTCATGAACCTAAGATTTGTCTGTTCTTTTGGGGCTGGTAAAAGCTCATTATACTCCAGTGCAACTGATGATTTTGACAAAAGCAATAGATTGGATTAATTCCCCTGAAGAGCCTACAACATACAGTAATTTGAAGAAAAGTAGAAACCATCATTTCTACTATTTTATTTAGTTATTCAGACCCGAGCTGTTCTTTCTAAATTTTAATCAGTTACCAGATCAGTGCATTTGCATTGATAAATGCTTTTACATGGATTTTGCTAAAGTACTAAGAAAACTCCAATAGGGCACATACAGTTATACTTCCATTCTTATGCTTTGCAATACTTGTACAATACAATGCTTGTACTTCTCTGCCTAGAGAACAGGTAGGATAAACCATAAAATAAAGCTTTTAATCATACAGGGGCACTGATTACTAATGCCTGCATGTATATCTCACTGAGATCAAAGATCCAGTTTCCTGCTGAGGCCAGTATGTCAGGTGGAATGGGGTGTAAGTAATGGGTTGGATTGTCAACAGAACTAATTAAGACAAAAAATAACAAAATAACCTTTTGGAGCTCAGCATTTCAATATCAAACCTATTACAGTGTCCCAAATCCTTACAGAGTGGAACAGGGTGAGATGAGGATGGCTGTGTAGGAAATGTTATATTTTGGTATAGTTTGCAGTATTAAAAGATGACTGTTAGATGAATGGCTGTTGGCTAGGCAGGGCCGGCTTTAGCAATTGAGGGCCCAGTTTGGACAATTTTGTTGGGGCCTTCTATATTTAAGATTATTTCAAATTAGGTATCAGGAATATATGCTATTACATTGTTTTAAAAATGGTAGATCACTGAACTTCTGCTTTTGGTTACATACTGTAATTA